GATCTTTAGCCTGAAGTGCCTAAAGGGCCCTGCAAAAAAATTGACAACCTAGAGGTCTTTTTGCAGCCTCCCCCCCACTTAACCCAAAGCCCTGGGTTGCAGCCTCTAACATCCCTCTCTTAAAAAATATATAAAATATATATCCAGCCCTGACATTAGCCACCCTACCCAGAAGCTCCAAACCCATCCCCACAACATCTCCAGTAGCACCTCTGATGAGTTCTATACCCAGTCTCCAGAACCCCCTTTGCCACACCTCCTTCCCATCCCCCTCCTCTCCAACCCCACCAAAAAAAAATATTCAGGTTAGTTTTTCAGTCACAAAGGCTGCAGAGAGTACACTGACTCTTCAGCTGTTTTCTGGCCACTGTCATACAATAACTGTTACACATTCTCCAAAGCACCACATGCATGGACATCACAACATAAATAATAATAATTAATGAAACATTCTGGAGCAAGAAAACTCACCACCAGAATGTCCCCTTGTGGCTGGCAACGTTTTCTCCTCTGGTGCCTCCTACTAACAACAACTCTGGCCTCCAGCAGCCTAACACATTCATGCCACCTCTTCCAGGCAACGGAGAGTCACACAAAACTACACTCCAATGACCTTAGGCCAGTGCTGCAGCCCACTGGGGGACTCAGTCCCCTTTATCTCAGGGGCTTTTATGCCATTTTCCTTGGTAAATGAGAACATAGGCAAGCAGACAGGCATGTCCTCCACCATAGGGTCCAGGCCAAGGACCCTGGTCTGCTCCTCTCAGCTAGCATTCATCCCTAATTCACCTTGCCAATCCTACCCAGCTGGGCAAAATTAGCCCTTCCCCACCCTCCGGATGAAGCTAGATGCATTTACTGCAGTCTGGGTCAGGTTAACTCCTTCTTTCCTGGTGTGTGGTATGCATTGCATTATGAATGCTATTTGATATCGCATAGGTATGTGCTTATATTAGCTCTTTACAATGAAACCTCGAGGCAACATTTTACCTACACACTTGAGACAAAATTACATACAAGTAATGAAGTACACAAAGGTCCTTTTTTGAACAAAAGTATAAAGACAGCTGTGAGTGTGAGCATGTGCTAGCGCTCAGCAGAGGGCAGCAATAGCACACAGTTGCACTGACAAGGGCCAGTCTGTATCACAGTGACTTGTACAAATAAGACAAGATAGCACAATCGGATTGGTAAGGGGAGGGAGAGCATTGCTACACAGCCATCATGGACAGCATTGCTGGCCCATTCAAGTATCTGAGCACAGATCCAGGCATCACTAGGGAAATGTAAACATGCTACTAGCCAAACTACAGGGTCTCCTAATATGCCTGTGCCCAAAGGCATGCACAAGTGGGGGGGCAAGCAGTGACACACACCCCAATATTTGCCTTAAAAAATATGTATTTCTGCTCTAGCCGCAGTCGGACGCATCCCAGGCCACTACTCCAGCTGACTGCATTTCACTATGTTAAGCCCAACCATGCACTGCTCTAAAATGCCCATCCAAAAGTGTGGTAGCACTTTATAGACTAAGAAAACATGTAGATGGTATCATGAGTTTTCGTGGGCACAGCCCACTTCTTCAGATGACCCAAGTGTGCTGTGTCCATGAAAGCTCATGATACCAACTACATGTTTTGTTGGTCTATAAAGTGCTACCAGACTATTTGTTGTTTTTTAAGTTTCTCCGGTACAGACTAACTCGGCTACCCCCGGAAGCATCCAAAAGTGGTCATATTTAAATTCCTGTGCATGTCCCTGCTTTTTGTGCCCATAAAATAAACCAAAAATGAAGCACCTGACAGCTGGAAAATCAGATGGGATTCCATGCACACAACTACACAAACCTTACTTTACTTGTTTTCATTTCTGCTTTAATGTATGCAGCTGCATTATCTGGAGCACACAAACCTTGATTTGCAAATATCTGCCCTCACCAGTACATTTATGAAAAGAGAAGAGGCTTCAGCACCCTCCCCCTCCAGATATTTTTAGCTTCTGACCACCTGACTACATATGTGTTGTGGCTCTTCAGAAAACTTAGTCTAGTATATTTGCAGTCACAAAAGCTATCATTGGGTACATATTAATCAACCCATTTCCTCTCCACAGCTGCACCTCTCTCCTAGCCTCTCCATTTGAAGGTCTATTTCATGGTCCTCTGTTTCAAGTTCAGCCCAGCCAGTGAGAATGTTACTGCTGCAGGTTCTGATTGCGACTTCAGCGTGGTCTTGTAAGTCACTTTTCCATTTTGTTCTGTTCCACATGTACACATTCCTTGAGCAACAAGGCACATACTAAGTTCCTCGGAGTGCAGATTTACGGTACATTTTTTTCTCCTCTTTTCTTTCTAGATGGACATGCACAAAAAAGTGTGACGCAAACTCCCATATCTATCACCAGACAAAAAGGTAAAACTGCAGTTATGCTCTGTAAAATTCCTGGTGCCACTATCAACAGTGAATACCCCGGCCCACAGAGGCAGTGGGTAGCCCCAGACAGGCTTCCCATCTTGCGCCGTAGCCTCGTGCACCCTGCAGAAACACGGCTGCAGAGCTCTGTTCCTGTTTTAAAACTGGGGCTGGGGGAGGAGTTTTAGAAGCTGCCTCACCTCCAGCACATTCTCATTTACTGGATTGGAGCTTCCCAGTGCTTGCAGCTACAGCCCAGCAAGAGTGGGGGCAACAGCGCTTGGAGCTGCATCCCCCTCTGAGGTAAGGACAGAACATGGGATCTTTAGCCTGAAGTGCCTAAAGGGCCCTGCAAAAAAATTGACAACCTAGAGGTCTTTTTGCAGCCTCCCCCCCACTTAACCCAAAGCCCTGGGTTGCAGCCTCTAACATCCCTCTCTTAAAAAATATATAAAATATATATCCAGCCCTGACATTAGCCACCCTACCCAGAAGCTCCAAACCCATCCCCACAACATCTCCAGTAGCACCTCTGATGAGTTCTATACCCAGTCTCCAGAACCCCCTTTGCCACACCTCCTTCCCATCCCCCTCCTCTCCAACCCCACCAAAAAAAAATATTCAGGTTAGTTTTTCAGTCACAAAGGCTGCAGAGAGTACACTGACTCTTCAGCTGTTTTCTGGCCACTGTCATACAATAACTGTTACACATTCTCCAAAGCACCACATGCATGGACATCACAACATAAATAATAATAATTAGTGAAACATTCTGGAGCAAAATAACTCACCACCAGAATGTTCCCTCAGGGCTGGCAAAGTTTTCTCCTCTGGTGCTTCCTACTAACAACAGCTCTGGCCTCCAGCAGCCTAACACATTCATGCCACCTCTTCCAGGCAATGGAGAGTCACACAAAACTACACTCCAATGACCTTAGGCCAGTGCTGCAGCCCACTGGGGGACTCAGTCCCCTTTATCTCAGGGGCTTTTATGCCATTTTCCTTGGTAGCCAGCAAGAGAACATAGGCAAGCAGACAGGCATGTCCTCCACCATAGGTTCCAGGCCAAGGACCCTGGTCTGCTCCTCTCAGCTAGCATTCATCCCTAATTCACCCTGCCAATCCTACCCAGCTGAGCAAAATTAGCCCTTCCCCACCCTCCAGATGGAGCTAGATGCACTTACTGCAGTCTGGGTCAGGTTAACTCCTTCTTTCCTGGTGTGTGGTATGCATTGCATTATGAATGCTATTTGATATCGCATAGGTATGTGCTTATATTAGCTCTTTACAATGAAACCTCGATGCAACATTTTACCTACACACTTGAGTCAAAATTACATACAAGTAATGAAGTATACAAAGGTCCTTTTTTTGAACAAAAGTTTAAAGACAGCTGTGAGTGTGAGCATGTGCTAGCGCTCAGCAGAGGGCAGCAATAGCACACAGTTGCACTGACAAGGGCCAGTCTGTATCGGAAATGGGTTGATTAATATGTACCCAATGATAGCTTTCGTGACTGCAAATATACTAGACTAAGTTTTCTGAAGAGCCACAATACATATGTAGTCAGGTGGTCAGAAGCTAAAAAGCTCTGGAGGGGGAGGGTGCTGAAGTCTCTTCTCTTTTCATAAATGAACTGGTGAGGGCAGATGTTTGCAAATCAAGGTTTGTGTGCTCCAGATAATGCAGCTGCATGCATTAAAGCAGAAATGAAAACAAGTAAAGTAAGGTTTGTGTAGTTGTGTGCGTGGAATCCCATCTGATTTTCCAGCTGTCGGTGCTTTATTTTTGGTTTGTTTTATGGGCACAAAAAGCAGGGACATGCACAGGAATTTAAATATGACCACTTTTGGATGCTTCCGGGGGTAGCCGAGTTAGTCTGTACCGGAGAAACTTAAAAAACAACAAATAGTCTGGTAGCACTTTATAGACCAACAAAACATGTAGTTGGTATCATGAGCTTTCATGGACACAGCACACTTGGGTCATCTGAAGAAGTGGGCTGTGCCCACGAAAACTCATGATACCATCTACATGTTTTGTTAGTCTATAAAGTGCTACCAGACTTTGTTATTTTTTAAGTTTCTCCGGTACAGACTAACTCGGCTACCCCCTGAAGCATCCAAAAGTGGTCATATTTAAATTCCTGTGCATGTCCCTGCTTTTTGTGCCCATAAAACAAACCAAAAATAAAGCACCGACAGCTGGAAAATCAGATGGGATTCCACGCACACAACTACACAAACCTTACTTTACTTGTTTTCATTTCTGCTTTAATGTATGCAGCTGCATTATCTGGAGCACACAAACCTTGATTTGCAAATATCTGCCCTCACCAGTACATTTATGAAAAGAGAAGAGGCTTCAGCACCCTCCCCCTCCAGATATTTTTAGCTTCTGACCACCTGACTACATATGTATTGTGGCTCTTCAGAAAACTTAGTCTAGTATATTTGCAGTCACGAAAGCTATCATTGGGTACATATTAATCAACCCATTTCCTCTCCACAGCTGCACCTCTCTCCTAGCCTCTCCTTTTGAGGATCTATTTCATGGTCCTCTGTTTCAAGTTCAGCCCAGCCAGTGAGAATGTTACTGCTGCAGGTTCTGATTGCGACTTCAGCGTGGTCTTGTAAGTCACTTTTCCATTTTGTTCTGTTCCACATGTACACATTCCTTGAGCAACAAGGCACATACTAAGTTCCTCGGAGTGCAGATTTACGGTACATTTTTTTCTCCTCTTTTCTTTCTAGATGGACATGCACAAAAAAGTGTGACGCAAACTCCCATATCTATCACCAGACAAAAAGGTAAAACTGCAGTTATGCTCTGTAAAATTCCTGGTGCCACTATCAACAGTGAATACATACACTGGTATCGACAGAGCCCTGGTGCAGCTCCAAAGAGGATTTTGTATGCTCAAGCGACATCAGTGACTGTGGATGAAGGCATTGATAAAGGAAGGTTTGAAGTTTCAACTGTTGCTTCTGAACACGTCTCTATTCTCCGCATGCACCAGCTAACCCCTGAGGATACTGCTATGTATTATTGTGCCGTCTGGGATCGCACAGTATTAGAAAGCCATAGACACCCTGTACAAAAGCTCTGCATTCTGAACTGCAGCCTTTCAAGTGTGCGAAACCGGACACATCCCTTATTCTTCTTCTCAGTGTGGAACCAGCTGCAGAAACTCCTCGCTGGTTTCTGCAATTTGAGAGGCAGAACCACAACATATAGCTGTGGTTTTGAAATATATTTTGCAACAAGTCACTACAACATCTTTTAGCGGTGATTTCACAGAGAGTTTATCTCCCTCCTCCCGCAAAAAAATGCAATATCAGTTTGAAACTATTTGCAAATGTGGGTTGAATTTGACAAATGGCGTTGCTGAAAAAAATACATTTTGAAAGTAGAAATTTGATTTCAACATTTTCAAAATGAGCCATTTTGCCTTTTTATTTTGAAACATTTATTTTTTATATTATCAGATTTATCTACAGAAGAAACCCACTGAAAAGGTAAAACTGTCACAAATCCAAAACATAACAAAAACCAAGGGGGAAAAATGCTTTAGCAAGAACAAAATGTTTCATTCAAACCAAAACCAAAATATTTCAGTTTTTTATTTTGATGAGAAAAATGTTAAGGGTTTTTTTATTTTTCTGTGCTGAGCCAAAACAAAATTTGGAGGATATTTTTCAAACATTTACACACTTGCTTAATTTTAAGCATCTGGATAGTTTACCGTGTCTGGAAAGCGGACTATCTCCTATGGTGGCAAACTGCTACATACATACATGCTACACTACGTCTAGACTGGCAAGATTTTGTGCAAAAGCAGCTACTTATGCGCAAAAACTTGCCAGCTGTTTACATTGGCCGCTTGAATTTGCACAAGAGCACTGAAATGTACAAAATCAATGCTTCTTGCGCAAATACCTTCATGCTCCCGCTTGGGAAAAAGCCCTCTTGTGCAAGAATACTTGCACAAGAGGGCCAGTGTAGACAGGGAAGAACTGTTTTGCGCAAAAAAGCCCCGATGGCGAAAATGGCGATCAGGGCTTTCTTGCACAAAATCGCGTCTAGACTGGCCACAGATGCTTTTGCAGAAAAGCACTTTTTGCGCAAAAGTATCCATGCCAATCTAGACGAGCTTTTGTGGAAATACTTTTAACGGAAAAACTTTTCCGTTAAAAGTATTTCACAAAATCATGCCTGTCTAGACGCAGCCAGAATGTTTATGCAAATGTGTACTGTATGGTAGAACTAAATATTTGTTTATAAATCCCTGGATTGGGGATCAGACTTCCCAGGGTTAGTCTATATTATCACTGCTCCGGACAACCTCACTTGCAGTCAAGAGTGCTCAGAGATTCTGCAGATCAGGACCGAGGATGAGACCACCGAGAAAACGAGGCACATGCAACGTGTGACCAGCTGTGACTATTTTCATTTTCCAGTTGCCTTCTCAGCCCAAAGTGCTTTGAATTTAAAAAAAGAAAAGAAAAAAAGTCTTCCCTTACAGGGAACTGACCATGCATACTGCCAAAAAAAAAAAAAGTCAACAACAAAACATCACTGTGGAGCACAGTCCCAGAACTTTGTCTTTCATGCTTTAAAGAGTCTCTCTAAGATTTCTTCTGCAAAAAGCTTCTTGCGCAAAAACCTTGCAGTGTAGACACAGCCTGAGAGTCAGACTTAGAAAGAGGACCGATTTTATTTGGAAATACTTGAGATCGTAATAGTTATTCCACAGTACCTTCTACAGGATGACCTTATTATTTGTTGGCAAGAATCACAGGTAGCAAAATGGCATTGGGGGAATATTATTTTCCCCTTAGGGTTAGAATAAGACCCTCATGTTCCTCCATGGGTATGTCTACACTAGTCCCCTAGTTCGAACTAGTTAAACCTCATGGAATGGAACCTCAGTGGAAAGCCAGCATGGAATGAGGTTTAACTGGTAATTCGAAGTAAGGGGTTTATTTCAGAATCGCCCTTCTCTGCCGTGTGTAGATGTGGGCAGTTCTTCCGGGCTAGTCAATTCCCAAAATGGCGACCGCCCAGAAACATGCTAATGCTTAATATGCTAATATTTAAACCCCGCACTTCATTTGCAATTTCAGTCATCCTCATTAGCTTCCGTAATTTGAACTTGAGGGCTAGTGTAGACATACCCATACTGATCTCTTTTAGGGCCAGTGATAAGATCCAGCAAATCCCAAGTTCAGGGTTATTGTGCATTTGATCACTATTCCAAAGTATAGTTAAAGCTCTGCTACCTGGCATATTGGAAGCATGGGAGTGGGCAGTTAATTGAATATTCTGGGTAATGGAGAGTTGTACTTCATCGATGGAATACCAATTTTCAAAGAATTGAATACAACAAAAAGAATCAAATATACAGGAACTCCCTAATCCAGTAGTTGTACTGCTTTGCAGAGTGGTTGGTTTCTTGAAACGTGTGTGTGTGTGTGTGTGTGTGTGTGTGTGTATATATATATAGGGGGGGGCGAGGGAGAGGATTATCTTATGATACTACATATCACTATGGGTAGTACATGACATACACCCAGATCACTAAAAATACACGTAACACTAAAATTACACTTAACATAATTTAATCTTTCTTAGATTCAGAAGGCACTTCAGGATCTTGCACTGCTGAAGGGTCATCGTTATCAGCATCAATTGTTACCATAGCCGTAGGAGTAAGAAATTAGGCTAAATCCAAGATTTTGTGCAAAAGCAGCTACTTATGCTCAAAATCATGCCAGTCTAGATGCAGCCCATGTGTATGGCTATATTTTTTATGCCCAGTGTTGTCACGACTTCAAAGTTAATAACTGCTTTTTAACAGGATGAAGCCTTTTTACTGGAACTGTCAGAGGCCACCTTAAAAGGGGGAAATAGAATAAGAGAGAGAGAGAAGCTGAATAAAAAAAAATGTGCATCTATATATACAAAATCGCGTCTAGACTGGCCACAGATGCTTTTGCAGAAAAGCACTTTTTGCGCAAAAGTATCCATGCCAATCTAGACGAGCTTTTGTGGAAATACTTTTAACGGAAAAACTTTTCCGTTAAAAGTATTTCACAAAATCATGCCTGTCTAGACGCAGCCAGAATGTTTATGCAAATGTGTACTGTATGGTAGAACTAAATATTTGTTTATAAATCCCTGGATTGGGGATCAGACTTCCCAGGGTTAGTCTATATTATCACTGCTCCGGACAACCTCACTTGCAGTCAAGAGTGCTCAGAGATTCTGCAGATCAGGACCGAGGATGAGACCACCGAGAAAACGAGGCACATGCAACGTGTGACCAGCTGTGACTATTTTGGTTTAAATGACTTGCTAGCATCACAAAGAAATCTGAGGCACCAGGAGGGATAGCTTCCAATTATCCCTGGCACCCAACTGCCTGTATCATGAGACCAGCCCTCCCTTTCCTGCAGTCCCCTTCCTCTTCCACCAGACACCTTCCAAATTCTCAGCAAATGAGTTCAAGGTCTGATGTTCAACAGCCTCCTTCGTTACACAGCTCTGACCCTCAGCACACCATCCACCTTGGGAAAAAAATGAAGCAGGAGTCCTGCGGAAGAAATGATGTGTGATAATGTATTTAAAGGCTGCACCAAAGCACATACACATAAGGAAACCTAAATAAGGCTGCATGGGCAACATTAAGTCTGGCATTTAGTAACTGCTGCGTGCTTGATTTTGCAACCTTAATATTCTTTAAAGGACTGTTGTTATACAGTGTCCTAAGTTTAAAAAAACTAAAACAAACAGAGGTTCAGTTTATACTAGACACTTATCCTCTATGTGAACTAGGCACTAAAGGGGGATAATATACATACTTTGCCAGTGGGTTTCATAAGTATTTACTGTCAGGAGAGAAACACTGTAACTCAAGATTCCTGAATTAATTCTAGGAACTGCAATGAAGGGTTCTCTAGAGGTTAGAGGCCCTTCTGTTTCCCCAGCACCCAACCAGCTAAGTTACTGCAGTATTGGAGAACTTCACAATTTCTAATGCATTTCTCCACATAATTGTGCTGTGAGTTAAGCAAGTCCTATTATGCCAGTTTTTTTCTACATGGGGAACTGAGGTCCATAGAAAGTCTGTGACAGAAGAGAAAATTAAAGCTGGGTTTCCCAAATCCTAGGCTAGCACTAAGCACCAGACCCTGTCTCCTCCCTTCCATCTGAACCCTGACTCTGTCCCTCTCTCCCATTTTTACTTCTCCCCTTATGCTCCTATCTTCCCCTGTATCCATGTCTAGACACAACCAAATGTCCTTCCTTCCTTTCCCTCCATTCCTATCTACCACTCACAGATGTCCCCTTCCCACCCAAACACTGTGTCCTGTTTCCCACCACTTTCCCCCCATTTCTGACAACCATCGCCCACCCCCACTCTGCTTCTGTTGACTTGAGCTACCAAACTGTAACAAGGTTCCCCTGACACGTGCAAAGTGAGATTTTTGAAACACTCATAACTTTTGCCAAATTTGGGTGTTCCCCCTGGCCCTCCAGGAATATTAAACACAACTTTTCCCTGATATAAAGGCCACCCTCTTACAAAATTTCAATTCCCTGATGCAGTCCTGGGGGTTCTAGAGATTTTCAAAGAAACAGCAATAAAAATATATAATATACAAGGAAGAATTTTCCTGAAATCTAGTTCTTACAAATGCCTGAATTGTGACACACCTTTTTTTTAACAACAACAACAAAATCAACTGAAAGCAGAAACCTCTGGCATGGAAAATGTCAGTTTGTTTAGTAAAGATTTACGCAATTGAAAAGAGGGTCTTATAATTAGAAGTTTCAGGCAACCTCAACTTACATGCATCTATAACTAAGGTGTGCCAGCTATCATCTCTCTCTCTCTCTCTTACCACTTTATCCAGCTACAACAAACCCATTTGTACTACATGTAAACCCCTATGTTAATGTATAATTACGGTTTCACATTTAAAATAAAAATAGTCAGGAAGAGGAGGAGGAGAAGAGAAGATCATGTTTTTATTGGCTTCTCTTTACTGTTCCCTAAGTGGTCGCCAACCAGGAGCCTCGGACAGGCAATCTTGACTGGCCTGGCCAAGAGGCTGTCAAGTACCAGCACTTCAGCTGCCCCTTTCCTCACTGCTACACATCTTCTGCACTTTGCCTTGGAGCTTTCCCTTCAGGAGCCTCCTGCTTTCTGTGCAGGGCAGGGGAGGGAGAGGAGGGTGCTGATGTCAAGGTGCCTCCTCGTCCATTCTGTATCCTAGCTCCATTTATCAGAGAGGGGGCACAGCAGTGGTTGGGATGGAGTTTTCTGGCTGCTTTTGGGAATGAGCCAGGGCCAGAGCAGGAGTGAGCCTGCCTTAGCCCCACTGCACCACCACATAGGAGCCACCCATGGTAAGCAGTGCCCAGCTGGAGCCCATTGATGCCTGTTCTAGATGCGATGGTGGTGAAATACCAGTGAACACCATTCCCTTCACTACCCCAGTTCTTCCAGTGCTCACCAGTGAAGATTCTCTAGCACCATGCAATGCTGGGAGATATTCCTAAAGAAGTCTCGGGTAGACAAGCCCTTTGACACAATCACCTGCATATTTTTTGAGGAGCCTCCCTATGTTTGTTCCATTTCAATTTTTTTATACACAGTCAGTGATTTTGCAGAATTATTCTGCAGGGATATGGGGATTGGAGCATGAGCATCTGTGAGAGACAGAGAGAGAAGGAGGGAGGGAGATAGAGATCAAATATTTTATTAGTTCGCTTACAATTGCTGTATCAACTTCCAGATGGGTTTCCTTAGATGTTATCTCTATTCTGTTTTAAAACAACTACGTATGCAGAGGAAAATATTTCCCCCTCCTCAACAGCCATATAAAAAATGTCAGTAAATTGGTATTCTAGAACAACATATATATATGTATAGGTATAGGTAGCAAAATATGTATCACGGGGTATGTCTACACTACAACGTTAATTTGAACTAACTTAGTTCGAATTAGTTAATTCGAACTAAGCTAAATCGAACTAACGGATCCAGAATAAAAAACTAGTTCAAATTAGCGTTTTGCTAATTCGAACTAGCACGTCCACGTTAAGTGGACCCTGAACCGGGCTTAAGGATGGCCGGAAGCAGTGCTGGCAGGGCATCAGAGGAGGACTTAGAGCGTGGAGATGGTGTCTCAGGCTAGCTGAGGGCTGTGCTTAAAGGGTCCCGACCCCCACCCCGGACAGACAGTTCTCAGGGGTGCCCCGCTTGCAAAGCAGTCCTGGCTTGGATTGCCCGGAGTACCCACACTGGGCACATCACAGCACTCGGCCATCAGCCTGGCTGCACTTGCCGCAGGCTGCCATCTGGGGAGAGGGGGCAATTGGGGGGCTGCAGGAGAACTTCAACCCCCAGAAGCCCGCAGAGCGAGCCCAGTCCTCCCCATAGGGGGCTCATGCCCCATTCCTTCCTCATCTCCTTCCACTTACCCTTCCCTAGCCCCTCTTCTTGATGTACAAAATAAAGATAACGTGTCTTCCAAAATGGAATCTGTCTTTATTGAACAAAACTGGGAGAGACTGGGAAAAGGAGGTGGGAGAGGGGAAGAGAGAGGCTGGGAAAGGGGAGGGCAACTACAATGATCAGGTGTTTGGAACAGGTCCCATATGAAGAGAGGCTAAAGAGACTGGGACTTTTCAGCTTAGAAAAGAGGAGACGGAGGGGGGACAGGATAGAGGTCTCTAAAAGCAGGAGTTGGGTGGAGACAGTGCATAAAGAAAAGTTATTCATTAGTTCCCATAAAGAAGGACTAGAGGACACCAAAGGAAAGGAATGGGTAGCAGGCTTCAAACTAGTAACAGAAAGTTGTTCTTCACAAAGCAAAGAGTCAACCTGTGGAACTCCTTGCTGCAGGAGGCTGTGAAGGCTACAACTAGAACAGAGTTTAAAGGGAAGTGAGATCAAGTCATGGAGGCTGGGTCCATGGAGTGGTATTAGCCAGGGGGTAGCAGTGGTGTCCCTGCCCAAGGTTTGTGGAAGGCTGGAGAGGGATGGCACCAGACAAATGGCTTGGTCACTGTCTTCGGTCCATCCCCTC